AGCCAATGGAAGCTTCCAGAAGCCAGTGGGTGGAAGGGTAGAGACCTCAATCTGCATATTCATGGTAGTCTGACCAATCCCAGGCTAAGAGGCCCTGGTAGTGTGGTAGACAAGCCCATAAATATGCGAGAACCATGCTAGCAGGAGTCAGAGAGTTTGGAGTCGGGTGGAAGATGGATTGAGGAAGGTACTGATGTGGAGGCTGGGAGGGTTCCACAGAGAAGGGGGGTCTACCTACAGACTGGAAGCTTGAAAGAGAGACCTCCACTGTTCTGCATTCCACCAGGGAAAGAACCTGTTAGCAGGGGAAGAAACCAGCCCAGCATAAGGCCTGAAAGCAGTTTCACACACTCTCTTTCTGGGACAGTATGCTTATGTGTCTCGGAATCCCTTACCCTGGGATACTTTTCATGACAGCCAGGTGGATGAAGAGATTTTCATCTTGGGTCTGAAGAGGTTCTTAGTAAGGACTGTGTGCTGATTCATTAATAGACAAAAGCCACTCCAGAGGAAGTAGAAAGTCCAGCATCTAATTTTGGCTTTTTGTACATAGGAAGTTTTGTCCTCCAAGTTGTTTCATTTCCATTGGGCATCCCATATACTCCTAGACCCCATCCAAGTTGTTTAACCCTTAATAAAACAAACAAAACCAAGCTCATGGACTGATCACTGACATAGGATTCAAGAGTGGAAAATGTGTGTTGTCTGGCTGTGCAGGAAATAAAGGGGGACCCAAAGCCAGCAGCTCAAGGGGGAGCGCTTCATGTGAGGGCTCGTCTGGGATCCCCTTATAACCTGCACTGCAGTTGCCCTTAGAATCCCTCTGTAAGGAATTGATGCAAGGTTGCAAAACCCTAGACAAACAAGCCAGAGAGGAGATGGTGTGTTGTGTTACCTGCTTTCTGAAACTCTGTATTCTGACAAGGAAACGTACGGTGGAGGATAGAAGCCTGCCGCCACTGACAGTTCATCTGGCGATGCTGCTGAAGGCTCAGTGCCCACCAGTGTTGCCCAGCAGGAACCAAGTGTCCCACAAACCACACCCGCACACCTTGTCAGCCCCATCTGGAAGGAGCCAGACTGTGAAGACAGTTCGTCTTCAGGTGAGCCTGTGGTGAGTGGTAGTGGTGAAGGGGTGGATTGCTGGTCACCCAGACTACAGGAAGAGTTTGGGCCCCTGAAGACAGACTGTGACAAGTGGTCCCCAGATAGTGAGAAGAAGAATGGAACTGGGGAGGCACTCATTAAGAGTCAAGTTCACTGACAGGACCATCAGAGACATCCACCACACCAGAGTTGGCTGGAAAGATTGGGGAATTAGAACAGCTGTCTGATGCTGAAGAGCAACAGCTGCAACCAATGTTCAGCAATGGGTCCAGTCAGGACCGTTACACACCTGGGCCAGGACCAAGGCCCAAAACACTTCCTTTAGACAGTGGATTATCCACTCTCCACAATTCTGCATATTTCCTAGACAAGACGAAAGCGGGACTTCCAAGGTTCTCAAAATTTCAGTAAGGAATCCAGAAAAGAGTTGCTCTTGAGTGGGGACTGAACTACTCTTACATAGTTAGTCTATCTAAAAAAAAGTCCATCCAGTTCAACCAAAAAAAAAGTTATAATCCTATACACCCCATTGATCCAGAAGAAGGCAAAAAAAAAAAACAGCAAAGCATGATCCAATTTGCTCCTGAAGGGGGAAAAATTATCCAGTTATATTCTGTGTATCTAGGAATCCAGGCCTTTTTTTAATGAAATCCACTGAGCTGGCTAGAACCAACTCTTGAGGGAGGCTATTCCACATGTTCACAGATCTTATTGTGAAGAAACCTTTCCGTATTTGGAGATTAAATCTCTTTTCTTCCAAACATAAAGAGTGCCCCCTTGTCCTCTGTGATGACCTCAGGGTGAATAACTCTACACCAAATTCACTATGTGAGCCACTGATGTATTTATACATGTTGATCATATCCCCCCTTAATCTCCTCTTCTCAAGAAAGAATAAATTCAGTTCCTCTAATCTTTCCTTATAGCTGAGCTCCTCCATGCCTCTTTCCAGTTTGGTTGGCCTTCTCTGTACTTTCTCCAGACCCCAGTGTTCTTTTTGTGAATTGGTGCCCAAAACTGAATTGCGTATTCCAGATGAGGTCTTACTAATGATTTGTAGCGGGCTAATATGATATTGATCTCTCTGAAGTCTATACCTCTTGTAATACAAGGGAGGATTTTGCTCGCTTTAGAAACCGCATCTTGACATTGCATGCTATTATTAAGCTTATGATCTACCAGAACTCCCAGATCCTTCTTCACCATTGATTCCCCCAATTGTACCCCCCCTAGTATGTATGATGCATGCATATTCTTAGCCCCCAAGTGCATAACCGTACATTTATCAACATTAAACCTAATTTGCCACATAGTTGCCCAATTAAACAATGCTTTGAGGTCGGCTTGAAAATTGAAGACATCCTGTAAGGACGTTATTCCATTGCAAAGCTTGTGTCATCTGCAAAGACTGAAACGGTATTCTTAATCAAGACAACATCTCCAGCGCTCAGAGACCTAGATCCAGAATAGGTGGATTAACTGACCTCCGTGAAACTCATCAACCAAGGGATCAAAGGTTGTGCAGCCCTTTGGTAAGGCTGGGGAATCCTGAACAACACTGCAAATAAGGATAACAGAAAGCGCACCAACCTTGCGCATTACCTCGACAATAAGATGATTTTATTAAAATAAGATGTGTACTCACAAACATAGCAATATAAAAGCATACAGTGTCCAAGCATGGATCACAGGAGATCAAGTAGCGTGCAAATCCCACTGGCAGGGAGACTCTTGTAAAAGTCTTGATGCGTTTCGAAGGGAGATCTGAGGAAGAGGGGGATCTCCCTTCGAAACGTGTCAGCCTTTTACGAGAGTCTCCCTGCCAGTGGGATTCGCACCCTATTTGATCTCCTGTGATCCATGCTTGGACACTATACGCTTTTTATATTGCTACGTTTGTGAGTATACATCTTATTTTAATAAAATCATCTTATTCCTGAGGTAATGCACAAGGTTGGTGCACTTTCTTTTGTTCTTATTTATGGTATTTTTAATCCCAGACCCTATATCGTTTATAAATATATTAAAATATGTCCCTCAGGATGTGATGGACACTGTTGAGATCTCCAGGCCACAGTGGGACTGGGACTACATACACATTACCAAGCCTTTGGGAAAGACCAAACACCTATTTTCTTAGTTGTGATAGTATATGGCAGGGGTGTCCAACCTTTTTTCAAAGAGGGCCAGATTGGATGAAGTGAACATGGTGGAGGGCCGAACATTTTTCCGAACATTCTTTGAACCATTACAATTAAATGCAAATAAATTATTTTATGCCAAGTTAATTGCAAACGACATACTTTTCATTTCATAACATTAAGATCAACTGACAGCTGAGTTTTCACAATGTATTGAAAATAAATAAAAAAAAAAAACTTACCTGCACTAATGTGAAGGGTGAAAAAGGTAGCTGGAGCTGAAGTCTCTGCTCGGCAGCCGGGAGGGGAAGAGAAACACACTTCACGCTGGAAGCCCGGCCCTCACGTCACCGCCCTCTGTCGCTCCCAGCGTGGTGGTCACGCATGCGCACTGCTCTCAAGCAGAAGACTGTCTGCCACAGAAGGGAGGGCTGTGCGACAGCCGCATTTACACAGACCAGGGAGAACGCGCCGCAGTCAGGCATGCGCACTGCCCTCTGCTCTCAAGCAGAAGACTGTCTGCCATAGAAGGGAGGGCCGTGGGAGGGCCACATTATACAGAACAGGGAGGGCTGTTGGAGGGCCGTATTAAACCGACCCCGGGCCGTAAATGGCCCGCGGGCCGGACTTTGGACATGCCTGGTATATGGAATCGCTAAAATCTGTTAATGTTTTTTTTGTCCCCTGTGTAACAAGGGAAGATTTCCTTCTACTTCCTGTCTCAGACATCACCAGCACAGGTGTCCCAATTGGAAAATTTCCCCTCATGTCCTATTCTTGTCACTACCATAAGACATTGGATTTCACATCCCAGTCTGTCTTCGTGTTAATGATCACCAGGATAAAGAGTGCAGAATCTCTTAGATGGAATAAAAGCCGGGATGTCTGAGCTTTTTCCAGTATGATCTCATACAGAGGTAAGAAAAACCTAAGGGGTAGGTGTTAGGGTAGGTTAGTTTAGGGGGTTGGGAGTGGATTGGAGAACATTTCAGATCTACAGTTGTCCTTTAAAGTGGAACCCTAGGCTAAACAAATATTGTCTGTAAAAAAAAAAAGGCTTGCATATCCTTATTTGATGTACACACAATGTATTTATATACTTTGTGGTTATTGAGGAATATATTTACATTAAAATGTACATACCTGGAAAAATCATGTAAACTCACACTCATAGACCATAAAACAGAGCAAAAACTCCCTACTTTCTGTCTCCACCATACTTTTACATGCTAAATGATCCCCAAGGCAGAAGCAAGTTTTGAGAAAGAAGATGCCTTGCCAACCAAGCCATTAGACCAGGGGTGTCAAACACCATTTCATCGTATCAGCATTATGGTTGCCCTCAAAGGACCAGTTGTATCTGTAAGACTAGATGTCCAGGGCACCCCACCCCCCATTACATCAGACGTCAAGAATCCCACACCCTCCCTAACATCACCGTGCACCCCCTTTGGGGGCAGAGCTGGAAAGCAGAAAGTGCAGGATCTGGAGGAAGACAAGAGGAGGAGTGGAGTCAGTTACCAGAGTCTGCTGAAGGCTGAGACCAGGGGAAGCAGAGATGAGGGGGTGCTGCAGCTGCACTGAGAGGTGCAGGTTTTGGCAGAGGAGTTCTATTTTCCTCTCTGCTGCTGACTGCTGAGACAAGGTGAGGGTGGAGACAAGGGGGTACCTGCAAGAGAGGTGCAAGGTGCCACATGAAATGGCCCAGAGGGCCGGATTTGGCCCGTGGGCCTTGTGTTTGACACCTGTGCATTAGACCAAGATACCTGGCAAACGTTGTAATGATGTCATATTAAGAAACATCATACAAACAGGAAGAAGACATCCATCACTCACCTTTGTAGTTTTGATTTTATTTCCACTGCTACAGGACCAGCCTGAGAGATCTGGTAAAACTTTACACTCTTCCCAATCCATACAGGGCTGCATGTGACACCACCACTTCTGGATGACAATCAATGCTGGAGAATGAAAAAAGAAATGTAGTTGATGGGTCAAAAAAATTCTTCAATGAAGCCATTTATTAAAAGTGCACCAGAAATATGTTTGCAGCCTTGTGGTTGTTAATCCATATTTACATGGGTACAAGGATTTAAAAGAGGAGTATGGGTTTCCATTTTTTAGCTTGGGCAGCACAGTGGCTAAATGGTTCACACTTCCAACTGGCAGTACTAGGGTCAATGATTCGAATCCCAGGCACGGCACTACCTGCATGGAGTTTGCATGTTCTCCCTGTGACTGCATGGGTTTCCTCCGGGTACTCTGGTTTCTTCCCACACTCCAAAGACATGCTGGTAGGTTAATTGGCTTCTGTCTAAATTGGCCCTAGTATGTGTATGCATGAATGTGAGTTAGGGACCTTAGATTGTACACCTCCTAAGGGTTAGGGACTAATGTGAATGTACAATATATATATTTAGCGCTGTGTAAATTGATGGCGATATATAAGTACTGTACCTGTAATAAAATAATAAATACATAAATAGCTTCATCCTATTCCCTGTGAGCTGCTAATACATAAAAATCTTTCCAGCCCTCTGAGAAGTGAACCCTTTCTGTTAAAGTCAAGGTAAATACCTATGGGAGGGGCTACACTCTTATGCCGACAATCTTGTCTGGATCCACCTTCTTTCCTTTTCCTGTGTTTGATGTTGGCTCTGGGCTATCTGCTCTCCCTCCTCCCCCTCCCTCCTCCTCTCACACAACACACAGCTGAGATCAATTCTCTTACAGACAGCTTCTATCTGCACACTGTGTAGCTGCCTGCTATGCTGCAGTTCTGACATCTGAAGTTCCCAGATAAAAACAGCTGCGCAGCATATCAGTGTGCAGATAGAAGGTGTGTGCAAGAGAGTCAATGTGAGCTGTGTGTTGTGTGAGAGGAGGAGGGAGGGGGAGAAGGGGAGAGGAGCTGTGCTGCCTGTACTGAGACTGTTAGCAGTATAGGGATGTGAATAGCCCAATGGGCACAGCTTTCATAAAGAATGGGTGGGCACGACTGAAATGGGGGGGGGGCACAGCCCTGCCCAACACCTCCCCCCTAGATCTAGCCAAGTCTACACCACTTATGTATTTTCCACTATGTAAAGGAATAGTACAGTGCCAGAACATTTTAATATTGAGGTGTTTGCCTGTTCAATAAGTGTGGCTACATGTCCCAGTGGGGGAGGGCAAAAAGGAAAGGTGGATTGCTGACATTGTAACCACCCCCTCTAAACTTTCAAACAGCAAACAGATCATTATAGGGACCTACATGACAGATGAAGTGCCCCTGCTTGAAAAACAAAAGGACAGACCAGCGAAAAAAACACCTGATTCATGATTATGGTAATATTTGTGAGGCTGTCATGCATATTGCTGAATCGCGATGAGGCTCAGGTAAGTATTGAGGGGGCTGGGGGCACTGCTGCACACAGAAGGTTTTTATCTTCATACATAAAATGCACGAAGATAAAAAAAACCTAGAGCCTTTACAACCACTTTAAGTTAAGGTTAAAGTACAAATAAAGGCATTTTTTTTTATAACGTGGAGAGGGAGGTTTTTTCCTGTTCACTGTTATCACAGAAAGTGAAAGAAAATCCACAATTTTAGGCTCTCCCCACAACAGTAATAGAGGGGAAATCTTCCAATGAGGACAATAGTTCTAGTGACAGTCAGGGATTGCCTTTTCCTTCTGTTTTCACCTGGTGATCTGGCCAGTAACACACCTCCTGTATTAGTGCCCCACTCTGAATGAAGGAACACAGGGACACCTCTGGACAGCAACATTGTCAGTCTGGGGGGAGTGGAGTGTTAGATGTACTAGCAGCTTTAGATATACTAACACACATCAACCTCACAGTGCAGTTACAGTTTTGGGTTACAGGTTTTACATAAATAAATAAAAGCTGATCTTCGAATGCACCCCTTTTAGTGGTTTGTCTCGACACTCTGTATGTTTGCAGGACAGCTTGTTCTGTTTAAAAACAAGAGACTTGCTGGCACAATCACCATGTGAAAATGAAGGAAAGCCTGAAAAAGAAAACTAACACAACCAACATGTCTAAAGATTGGTAAGCTCCAATATTTTAAATTATATTTGGTTTGGGGTTTAATACAGCTTTAATTTTGTGATTTTCTAGATGCATATGACTGCATGGCAATCCTAAAACAGTGAAAAAGCCACACAAGACATTCACAAAGTTTTTAGACAGTCTTAAGAGATCACTAACACTCTACAATAACGTTGCAAACACCATTAACAAGGCACACAGCAGGGCTTCACCACTGCTTGCACCTTCTACAGTTAGCAGGTCTTGCTGGTTGTTCAGTCTGCTAGCTGTTAATCACAGTTTAAAGTAAGTTTAAAAAGCAGAAATTCAAACTTATCAAGTGATGAAAATAAACAGATGCAAATATTAGTGAAAACCGCATATAAAAGCAATCATTAGATCTGAAGATATAGGCAGAGATATAACAAAATGTCTACTTTTCTTTGAGCTTGTTGCCCCACCTTTCAAGCTTCCTTATTGGTCCTTTCATGTGAGAGGCAGACTTTTAGACCAATGAGGTCAGGCTTGGGGGGATGATTAGAAAGCAGGATTTGGACTTTAACCCCTTCACACCTAAGGATAAAACAAATCTAAATGCCTAAGCACAATTTTGCAACGTTGACATGTGTTAGTAAAGCCGTACTTCTAGGTGAATTATACCGCGTTTTGTTCAGGACAAATTTGGCTTTCATTTGGTGGTAAATGGTAATGGATATCTCCTGATTTTTTTTTTTTTTTATTATCAAAGGAAAACTGGCCCAAAATAGTAAAAAAAAAATCATTTTTTTATTTAGCAGTGTGTTTCTTGTTATTATCATAACCTACCACCAAAGAACAACCCAAAATAAATTCTCCAGCTCTTGACGATTGCAGCGATAGCATATATGTGTGTGTTATTTGTTGTTTGTACCCGTAGTACAGCCCAGAAACAATAGTGTACATTCTGTCTTTTTTTTTTTTTTACCTAAAACACACTGACACTGACATTGACACTAACAACAATTTTTTTTTAAATCCTGACCTTTGACCCTGACCTTTTACCCCGACCCTTTGACCTTGCCCTTTGACCTTGACCCAAACAATAACCCTGGCACTGAACTAGATCAAACCTTGATCTAGGTATTTTTTTCTTTATTTTTTATTTTATTTTTTAATATTTATTTATCTTTTTTTTTTTTACAAGCATTTTTTTTTTCTCTCTATGCTAGGAGTTAGAGTGATACAATGTATAATAGAATGTATATAATGATAGAATGTATCTCTCTTCTCCATTCATAGAGAGAGAAAAAAACAAGGGGGCCGGGCTGCACAGTGACTGATCACTGTGATAGCCAATCAGAGGATATCACAGCAATCATGTGACCCAGAATCGGGAGTCCCGGGTTCCAATCGTTAGAATGGGACCCGGGGCTCTCAGTGACACCGCGGTCTTTGTGCTGGGAGTGCGCAGTGCGGTGTGCTCCCAGCACAAAGACAGGTGCGCAAATATGCGGCCCCACGGAAAAAAGCCCAGTTCCGTGAGGCCGCATATTTGTGTGACGTCGGCGTCAAGGGGTTAAAGTGCATGTCCAGCCAAAACTTTTTCTTTTAGTTATGTATAAATTAGGGAACAGTTTGAATCCCTGTTAGGTTTTTAGCACTATCTGGGTTCTGTTGTGTATGATAACGCTATAACAGTACTACAAAAAATATTTTCTTTATAAGAGTAGAGGAATGTTAGAACTCCTGTTTATTTTGTATTTCTGTCTTGTCGGTGTTGTAGATATTCCCTTGCTTCCTGACTGGTGAAACCATAATCACTGAGACAGAAGGTAAGGGAGAATCTCTCTAATCGAGTCATGGATAGTAAAAACCCAATAGTAAAAAAAAGATTTGGGCTTGGCATACACTTTGAAGCATAAAGGCAAAATGTTAATATATTGGAGCCTATAAGACATTAAATATGAAGAAGAATACCCATTGCTCCCACCAGAAATCCAGTATCCTTGTAACTTTCTTGGCACTGAACTATAATCTATACCAATGTTATCAGCTCTCATCAGTTCACTTCTGTGAACTACAGAACACATCCTCCTATGTTATAGAGATGAGAAAAAGGGGAGGTGTTTGTAGTCCAAATCAGGACAGAAGCCTATGGTAACTAAGAATGAGCTTGGGCTTGGTCTGAACCCAGAAGCTAGCTGGGCCAATGAGTTCAGGGCAGGAGATTCTCTGCATTGCAACTGCACATATACAAGAGATGGTCATGACATCACAGACCAAATATGGTCACGTGGCCTTACTAAGGTAATGACATTGACCTAATATGGCATGTGCCCATATTAGGTCAATGATGTCACAAGCATCCCTGCTCTTATGTGTATATCAGCTACAGGGAAACTACATGGACTGGGCTCTTGGCCTATACTGTCAGCTGCCATCCCACATCATCTCTACTTCTTCCCCTTCCCAGCACAAGCTCACAGGGGACTCTGAGTACTGCCAGGCATGTACAAAGCACAGGGGGACAGGAGCAGCTGTAAAGAGGAGAAAATGGCAATGTCAATACAGGGCTGTGAGCAGCCTATTTAAGCCCTGCCCACCACCCAGAGAACCCAGAGGAATGGAATGTGGACTGCTATGAATACTGGGAGGAACAGAGATTTGTGTTGAATGTAGTCCCCAGGCAGACTGAGTCTGTGTTTCAGATTGGGGGAGGAAATACATAACCCAGGATCACAAGGGCTCCTTGGAGAGGAAAAAAAGGAGAACTGTTTCTGGGCTGTAGGGAGATGTGATGAGGATATTGTGCGAAACAGACTGTGCAGCAGGCTGCTAACAGAACATTTTATCAGTGCATCAGGGACGCAGAGATGAGGAGTAGCGTACATCACCTGGTATATGAGAATGCCACTGTTGCTAACTGGTGTCGCCGCTGGTCATTGGGGAG